TTTAAGAAAATATTTAATATAAGAAATAATATGAATAATAACTATGTTGTGACACGTACTAATAAATATAAAAGAAACTAATAAACAAAAATAATATAATTAATATAACTAAATATAAACCTTCTAAAAATATACTTATCGATGTAATCGAACTGAGTTGTTAAACGCTTGTTAGTTTTTTATTCTAATTAATTTTATGTGTAAATTTGAGGTGATAGATAATAGTTATTTGTACATTTATACATGTAGATTAGAAAAAAAAAATCTTTATTATTCTAATTTTAAATAACTTTTTTATTTACTATAATTGTTTTTTTAATATAATATATAAGTATCATTTTTATTTACTATAATAGTTTTTTAATATAATATATAAGTATCATATTGAACAGATAAAAAAAGAAATATTTTAATTATATAATATTTAATATGTAAGAAATGTAACTCAATTGGTAAATTAATAGGTAATCTTGGGATAAAATAATGAGTGATTTCTGAAAAAAAAATTATAGGAATTAAAAAGTTCACGTGTTTAATATATTTTTAATAGAAAAATTGTAAACACAATTATTCAATAAATACTACATAAAAAATATAAGAAATCTTATATCCTCCCTATATGTAATTAAAAAACATAACTTTTTTCAATTCAAAATAAGCAAATCAATGAAAATAATATATTTTTAAAACTTTTATGAACAAAAGTTGACTCGACAATATTATTAATGAATTTATGAATTGTAAATATTTAATTAAATTATTAATTAAAAAAATTGTAATTAAATATAACATAATATAGGATATACAAATATTTGATATATAATAAGTCAGATGATCGAAAAAATTCTATACTTTATATTATGTGTTTTTTGACAAATCTACAGTTAAGAACATGTGAAAGAACAAGATAAAGTTTTAAAAAATATTAAATATAAGAAATAATATGAAAAATAACTAAGTTGTGACACGTACTAATAAATATAAAACAAACTAATAAACAAAAATAATATAATTAATATAACTAAATATAAACCTTCTAAAAATATACTTATCGATGTAATCGAACTGAGTTGTTAAACGCTTATTAGTTTTTTGTTCTTATTAATTTTATGTGTAAATTTGAGGTGATAGACAATAGTTATTTGTACATTTATACATATATATTAGAAAAAAATCTTTATCATTCTAATTTTAAATAAGTTTTTTATTTACTATATTAGTTTTCTTAATATAATATATAAGTATCATATTGAACAGATAAAACAAGAAATATTTTAATTATATATTATTTAATATGTAAGAAATGTAACTCAATTGGTAAATTAATAGGTAATGTTGGGATAAAATAATGAGTGATTTATGAAAAAAAAAATTATAGGAACTAAAAAGTTCATGTGTTTAATATATTTTTAATAGAAAAATTGTAAACACAATTACTCAATAAATACTACATTAAAAATATAAGAAATCTTATATCCTCCCAATATGTAATTAAAAAACATAACTTTTCTCAATTTAACATAAGCAAATCAATGAAAATAATATATTTTTAAAAAATTTATGAGCAAAAGTTGACTCGACAATATTATTCATGAATTTATGAATTGATTTAATTAAAATATTACTAAAAATTGTAATTAAATATAATATAATATAGAATATACAAATATTTGATATATAATGAGGCAGATGATCGAAAAAATTCTATTCTTTATATTATGTCTTTTTTGACAAATCTACAGTTAAGAACATGTGAAGAACAAGATAAAGTTTTAAAAAAATATTAAATATAAGAAATAATATGAATAATCACTAAGTTGTGACACGTAATAATAAATATAAAACAAATTAATAAAAAAAATAATATAATTAATATAACTAAATATAAAACATCTAAAAATATACTTATTGATGTCATCGAACTGAATTGTTAAACGCTTGTTAGTTTTTTGTTCTTATTAATTTTATGTGTAAATTTAAGGTGATAGACAATAGTTATTTGTACATTTATACATGTAGATTAGAAAAAAAAATCTTTGTTATTCTAATTTTAAATAACTTTTTTATTTACTATAATAGTTTTTTAATATAATATATAAGTATGACATTGAACAGATAAAACAAGAAATATTTTAATTATATAATATTTAATATGTAGAAATGTATCTCAATTGGTAAATTAATAGGTAATCTTGAGATAAAATAATGAGTGATTTCTGAAAAAAAAAATTATAGGAACTAAAAAGTTCACGTGTTTAATATATTTTTAATAGAAAAATTGTAAACACAATTACTCAATAAATACTACATAAAAAATAATGTTTGAGAGTACTACAAAAAATTTTCTATACTGCAATGAAAAATTCAACGGTAAGGTATTCTACTGAAAATTTCAACGAATATGTTGCTTTCATTGGCTATTCCAATAGATTCAAATTAAATTAAATGAACTTTAGTGGATGTAAAGATTTCAGTTACCTGAATTTCTATTGGAATTTATTTTTTGGACCATATTTCAATCGTTGAAAAAATTGTCATTGGTATTATGCAAAAATTCAATAGAAGTTCCATTGGAAAGATAATTGCTCCAAAATAATTTCATATTGGGAGCATTATTTAGTTAATAGGAAAAAATATACCATCAAAATAACATATCATTGCAATTTTTAAATTATAGTTTACATAATCTATCACCTTTCTCATTTGTAATACATTTTAATAAATCTATGCAATCACAATAAGGTAAAATATATTTAAGAAACTAAAAGTCAAGATTTTTCTAAAATCAACATAAGAAAATCGTTATATTTGTTGTAATTTTTGTTGGAATTTTCTCATTTTCTTGTAGTAAAACTAAGACTCCAAATCTATAAAAAAAATGCATTATATATAATATTGTGTGCAACTATTATTATGAAAACTTTTGATACGATAGAAAATATAACACATTCAATGTAATTTACGTTCAATTTATGATAAGAATTAATTTTTTTCAAAGCAAACAAGATACTTTGAAAGGTCCTTAATTATTTTATTAGTATTGTAATAACTAAATAAGGGGTAAGAAAGATGACAAAACTTATAACTCTCATTAAATCCAAAAGTAAAAATGTTGATAAAATTACCTAATGTACAATATCAATTGGAGCTGGCTAATGATAAATATAAAACATACTTAAGATACACATATATTTTAACTAGAACTTTTAAGTACATAATATAAATGCAAATATATATATATATATATATATATATATATATATTCATATGTATATTTCTTTAAAAGTGGGTATGTTAATCTTAAAATTTTTTAGTTAAGATTTTTATTACTTTCTATCATTATATTTTTTAATTTTCAAATACTTCACATTTTTATTTGTTACCTTTTTATATGTAATATATCACATCATTTATTTTCAATGATGTTTGAGTTGACCTATATATTGCAATAAAATAAAAATAATATAATTATTTATATTGATATAAAATAATATATATATATATATATATCAGTATTAATTTAAAATAATAAATTAGTCTTAAAGTATATAATATAATAAATTTTATTTTCAAGTTAAATCAATTTATTAAGTATAAAATAACATAAGATAAACTTGTGGTATGTTTTTCATACATAAATTTGAAACAATTCATATTAAAAAAAAAAAAGTAAAAAAAAATAGGTGTAAACTTCTAACTGTTCCCACGTTTTGGCTAGAGCGCCCAAATCCGATATATATTTGACACGAGTTTGTCGTAATGCTGAAACTATAGAAAATGCACCTTAGGGTACAAACGAAGTGAAGCAATGTGAAGTCATAGATAAAAGGAAAGGCTAGGCCAGAGAAAGGAAATAAAATAACATTAGCTATGTGAAGTCAATTACTGCTGCAAAATGAACCCTATAATGGTGGTACCATATATGTATTCAGTGATTATGAAAATGACTTAGTTAATTAATATTTTATCAAACATTGGAAAAAATTCTAAAACTTTTTAATCTAATAATTCCTATAAAAAGTACAATTTTGTCAAATATATTAACTTACATTTAATCTTATGTGATTATATTAATTGTAGCCTAATAAATAACATACAAAAAATAACATAATACGTGTAAGTGTGTTTTAGTTACTTAGCAAAATAAAATATTATTTTAAGAAATAAATAATATAATAGTAATGCAATGAGAAAAAGAAAACATGCTAATTTTCTTAGAAAAGTATGAATACCAATATTTACAAACAAAAAGTCTTTTAAAATTACTACTTTTTTGTTGCTAGCCTTTAAATATATGGACTCTGTAAGAAATTGGTTCTCATAAATAATGATCATATACTATTTATTTTTAATTTTAAATAATTAAAAAATCTAAAAATTTGTATACATGATGTATATTTTAATCATGACTCCATAATAATAAACTTTACAAATGACTAAAAGTATCGTCATATAATGGAATTCTATTTCTTCTATTGTCAAATATTTTAACAAATGATATGCTTCTCAATATTTTCTCATTATTTTATTTTATCATTGAAAAAATAGATTATATTATTTGTCTATATTCTAGATAAATAACACTGAAAATGAAATGTAGGAGTATCAAAATAGTTTTGAATGTTAGAATTAAGTTGTCACTTTTTATAGAAATATTTATAATCTCATTGGTGCATTGTGCTTGAACATATGTTCAATTACTTTAGAGGTACTTTCAGGTAATGTAGGGTAAATAATAATTTGCAACCTGTACTATACGCGAATTTAGAGTTTGCAACCTAAAGAATTTTTTGTACTAAATTGCAACCTTTAATACACTATATCGCAACCTCGGGCCATCAGCGGCCCATTTTCCACAGAAAACCGAGCGTGTGTAACACGCGCACCAAATTTAAGGTCAAAAATGTCTTTTAATATCTCTTTCTCCTCCTTCTTTCATCCTCTTTCTCTCACAGCGGCAAACTTGTTTTGCAAAAATTGTTTTCCACCAAAGACGGTCCTTAGACGACGACGCGGACGATTCTCCCGGGCGGCGCGCCGAGCTTCGCGGCGGCGATGTGCTCGAACGAGGGGGCGAGGAGTGCAGTTCTGGCCAGGACGGCGACGTTTTCGCCATAGACCACGTGGCTAGAGGGCTTCCCTCGTCGTAGATCATCGTTGTCCATGCTGGGCAGGTCGTCGTGGATCAGGAACATGGCGTGGTTCATCTCGAGAGCGCAGGCCGTGGGCATCGCCGCCGACTCATTGCCGCCGACTCATCACCGCCGACGAGGTGGCAGACGGCAAGGCAGACGATCGGGCAGATGCGTTTGCCGCCGGAGAGTAGGGAGTACCGCATGGCTTCAGGATCTTGATGGGGTTTCTAATGGGGACTGCGGAATCTAAGACCCGGTTTACTATTCTGATCTTTTGGAGCATATAGGATTTGAAATCGAATTGGTTTCTAGGGTTTGCTGATTCTTGGGTTTCTTTGTTTGGGGCATTTTCTACCTCTTGGTGATGGGTGAAGAGACGATTTCCAGTGGTTTGAGATGGAATTGATTTGAAATTTTGATTTGAATGATGAAGAAAGATGGAAGAGAAGCAGATTTGGATATGGTTCGAGTCTTGTACAGAAAATTACTACAGATACTTGCACTCATCTGGATTTGGATTAATACCATAGTTGATGATTTTGTTGTTAAAAGGAAACTTTTTTGTCTTCTCAATCTCAAGATCCAACACATATTTAGTGAAGGCATTTTCTCTGTGTCTGCCAATGCTGTGAAATCTTCTAGGCTGAAAGAGGATGATAACACGAGGAAGAGGATGAAAGAGGGAGGAGAAAGAGATATCAAAAGACATTTTTGACCTTAAATTTGGTGCACGTGTTACACACGCTCGGTTTTCTGTGGAAAATGGGCTGCTGATGGCCCGAGGTTGCGATATAGTGTATTAAAGGTTGCAATTTAGTACAAAAAATTTTTTACATTGCAAACTCCAAATTCGCGTATAGTATAGGTTGCAAATTATTATTTACCCGGTAATGTATGATGATTTCAAAAAATAATTTAGCACCTCGAGAGAAGTACATGTAACTAAGATTTTAGAAAGTCAACTTTTATTTGGAGAAAAAATTCATTCTCACCTCGTGGGGCGATGCATCAATGGGGTAGACACCAATATATCTAGAGATAGAGGAATGTAGTAGTTTATACTTTATACAGTGATAAAAAATATCAACAATTTTAGTGACACCGTTAGTTATTTCATAGAGATATTTATCCTTTGTTAGTAGAAGTACCTTGTTATAAAGATCATACGATCATGAAGTTTGACTATATGTTGGGTCAAAAAGTTTCTTAAGTGTTTGAATAAAATTGACGTTTTACCAAATTAATTAAGAGGAATTTTGCAATAGTATTGATGTATTGGACTCCAACGACTATGAATGTTCTTATGAGAACGTTAAAACTAAAATAAAAGAAAATTTTTGTGTTTTTTTTATTAGGAAGTTTTTTTTATATATATTTTTGTTGGGGTTTGTAAAACGTTATTTCACTATTTTTATATGAGGACATCATTATGTTAATTCTAAATAAAAAAATCACATATGAGTTCATTTTTTCTATATTTTATTTCATTTATACAATGATATGTTTAATAAATAAATTAATTTATTTTACAAACTTACTCCGCGAAAATCATTCGAGCAGTTTACTAGTACAAACAAAAAGTTTAGAAACCCCTTAAATTTAGGGTGTTGTTAAATACCGCCCCCTTTTTAATTATTACCGCCCCCCAAAAAGACAGTTTTACCCTTTTTAATATAAAAATAAATTTTTTTTTTTTGGGCTGGCCGGCCTTGAATGCCGGCCGTAGCCGTGCCGGCCTTCTTTTTCCCGGTAGGCCGGCCCATGCACAGCCGGTTTTGCCGGTAGGCCGGCCCATGCACGGCCGGTTTTGCCGGTAGGCCGGCCCATGCACGGCCGGTTTTTCCGGTTGGCCGGCCCATGCACGGCCGGTTTTTCCGGCCGGCCGGCCATTTTTTTTTATATATATATATATATATATCAAATTTTTAATTATATACATTATATTAGAATTTAGATTTATGTTATAAATTAGAATTTAATATCTCATAGTTAAAATTTAGAAATTGTTAAAGTGTAAATTATAACTAATTAACTTATAGAATTTTATTATTATTATGTTAGAACTCATTAATTATTATTTTATATAACATAATATTAATTATCTCTAATAAAATACTAATGAGTGATGCTATTAAAAATTACAGTTCTATTTTTTTTCTTAAATCCGCTCCTTTTCAACTCGGTAATAAATTTTAAAATACAAAATAATATTTTGACTTAAATAAATACCAATTTAAATAACAAATTGAACGAAAAATATCAGATTTTGTTAGAGTAATTTATTGAGACCGATTAATTCAATATGATTTTACCGAATTTTGTGACAAGAGATTGTTTGACACTTTTCTCAGAGTTATATGATTCGTGTGAATATTATAGTAGGAAAAGCGTTTTAACAAAATAGTAATAAATTCTAATTTATAATAGTAATAATCTATACCATAATAATTTCTAACTTCTAACATAGTAGTACTAAATATTATTTCATAAGGCTATCAATTCTAAATCATACCATAATAATATCCAACTTCTAACATAATAGTAATAAATTATAATTTATAACATAATCAGTTTTAATCTATAATACAATAATTTCTAACCTCTAACAAAATAGCAATAAATTCTAATTCATAAGACAATAAATTCTAATCTATAATACAATAATTTCTAACTTCTAACATATTAGTAATAAATTTTAAGAAAATCAATTCTAATATATAACATAATAATTTATACTAATATATTTTTTCAAACAAGTATCATATCTGATTTATAATAATATAACTTATACTAATTATACTAATATCATTTTTTTAACTGCATATGTTGTTAGTTCATTTTATCCTCAACAAGTGCATAACAAACATAACCTTAAATTAAGGTTTAGGGTTTAGGGGTTTAGGGTTTAGGGTTTAGGGGTTTAGGATTTAGGGGTTTAGGGGTTTAGGGGTTAGGGTTGAGGGTTTAGTGGTTAGGGTTTAGGGTTTAAGGTTTAGGGTTTAGGGGTTTAGGGGTTTAGGGTTTAGGGGTTTAGGGTTTAGGGGTTAGGGTTGAGGGTTTAGTGGTTAGGGTTTAGGGTTTAGGATATATTATGTTTGTGATTGTCATTATGTTAGAAATTATTGTATTATAGATTAGAATTGATTGTCTTATGAATTAGAATTTATTGCTACTTTGTTAGAGTTTAGAAATTATTGTATTCTAGATTAAAATTGATTATGTTATAAATTATAATTTATTGCTATTATGTTCGAAGTTGGATATTATTATGGTATGATTTAGAATTGATAGCCTTATGAAATAATATTTAGTACTACTATGTTAGAAGTTAGAAATTATTATGGTATAGATTAATACTATTATAAATTAGAATTTATTACTATTTTGTTAGAACGCTTTTCCTACTATAATATTCAAACGAATCATATAACTCTGAGAAAAGTGTCAAACAATCTTTTGTCATAAAATTCGGTCAAATCATACTGAATTAATCGGTCTCAATGAATTGCTCTAACAGAATCCGATTTTTTTCGTTCAATTTGGTATTTAAATTGGTATTTATGAATTTCAAATTTAAGTCAAAATTTATTTTGTATTTTAAAATTTATTACCGAAGATAATTAGTTATAATTTATAATTTAACAATTTCTAAAT